CCCTTCCCAGCCGGCTCAGCCCAGCCTGGCCCCCTCCATCCCTCCCCCAGCCAAACCATCGCAGGCCCATTTCCCCCCACCCCAGCCGTCCTTGCCCCTGCCCGCCACCACCCAGCCGGAGGCCGTGCAGGGTGCCGCCAAGGAGGCCGGGGGCACCGAGCAGCCGGACCCCTCCACCATGACTCCCCAGGTAAGGCAGTGCCGCCTCCGTGCTCGCCCCTGCTGCCCTGGCTGGCGGGAGGGAGTCCCCAGGGCCGTGGTGGCGATTGACCGCTGGCCGGTACCGGGTGTTGCAAAGGTCTCCGAGTAAAGGCGGTTAATAAGCACGCTGTATTTGCATAATACTTAAAGGGTTTGGATGCAACCCTTGGAAGTCCGGGAATGGCGTGGCTCAGGTGTAAATGCTTGTGTATCCCATGGTGGTTGTTGGGATGTCATTTTTCAAGAGTGAATGAGTTGTTTAGGGAAAAATCTTAACTCCCGGAGGAATTTAGTTTTCTTGGGGGGGGTTTGTTGGTCTCTGGAGAATTGTTTTCCAAAGTCCACCATGTAGGCAACCTGCACCTAACCTCTGTTGGCTTCATCTGGCCTGTTGTGAGATGCAACAGTCTGTTCGCTTATCACATGTTGCAGGATGAGTGCTTCTTGTCATCAGTGATTTCTTCATTTAGTTTGCTCATGGAGTCATGTTTCAGTTGTCTGTCTGATCAGTGTAGAATTGTGACTATTTTAATCTTGCCACACATAGTTAAAGCTGCAAAAGTGTTTCTGTCATCGTACATGGTTGCCCTTTACTTAGACTTACGTCTACATTTTGTGCTATGCATGCTTGATCTTCTAGTATAAAATTGTATGGGGCATTGGAAGGAAATGTTCTGAAATGCAATGTTCGTATTGTTAATGCTGTGTGCTTTTTATGTGTACATGAGGGCAAAAATGCCTGCAAAATGTTCTCATGCTTCACTTCCTAAATGTGAGCGGTTCCAGTGAACTTGACGTGACCCTTCATATGTATTAAGTTAGGGACAATCCAGTTGCTTAAGGTTAAGCGTGCACAGAGACACGCATGTTGAGGTCCTCTGCTATGTATATAGGTCAGTCAGATTCACTGAGGCTTTTGCATGGGTTTAGAGTTGGCTTGTAGAGATCCAGCTGAAGTGCATGCTTTAAATTTACTTTATTGAAGTTTAAAAGACATCTATTTTTTGCAAATTGATCTTAGGATTCTGATATGAAGCTAAGTTTGCAAAAATCCTGTTGCATTGTATTGAAGTCACTGACACTTTAAATTTGTTACCTTTTTAATTGTATCCATTAAAATTTCTATACCAATACCTGAATACATTTGGGACTGTATCTAAGTTTGCACCATATAACTAATCACTGCCTAAGAAAGTGGTGCTTTCAGTTCATGAATTTAATGTTACAAAGGTTTTGGATGGTACTAGTTGATCTTTTACAGTGATAGCAATGGGACTTACTAAATTTTTTTAATGACAAAACCAAAACCTTGAAAAATCAGGTGTAGAAAGTGATGTTAATTCAGTATTGAGGCTGCTTGCTGAGTTTCTAAATTGTTGAACTCGATATCAAACAGTAAACTGTAATTTCTCCCCCCTCATGTAGCCTGAAATTTTGTTAATGTTATTTAATTGTTCTTCAACCACTCTCTCCTTTCCAGAAGAGTTCCAAGTAATGCATTATCGTAGTGCACACATAGAAGAAGCAGAATACTGTTGAACTTTATATTATCTGGTTTATGAGTGTCTATACAAACAACTTCTATCTTGAGTAGTTTGTTTGCTATCATGCACAATTCGGTGTTAATTGAAAACAAATATGGTACCTTGCTGGTCATAAATTTGTCATAACAGATTGATACGATTTTGGCTATCTTAGGCTGTAAAATGAGACAGTATTTGGAGCAACAAGTCCTCACACAATAGGAATAGGAAAAGCAAAGCATAGTGATGCTTTCTTGCTAATGATCTTCAAAGCCGAGTAGAGAAATACTGTAATTTGGCATTTATAAGATCCTACTAAGCCTTTGTTTAAACTGGTAATTGAAAACAATTCTTTCTGTTCTCATTCTGTAGTATTTGGCTGCAGCCAAATAGATCAGTATTTTTCTCTTAACATAGAAAATATTATGCAATTTGCCATGAGTTAGTGTTTTATTATTTCCCTTTCCTGTCTAAAAATAAGATACCCCTCATTGCCTTGACAATATTGTGAGTTCAGCATAGTTTTTTACATGAGTGTACAGTTGGAATAAGTTGCTGGATTCTTGTGTTTCTCTACAATCAGATGAATCTTTTGTCAAGTCCTGTTAAAATACCGGTGGTATTTCATTAATGCTCCATCTCATATTTGGGTACTGTATGCTGCTATTTATTTATAGTAGTAAACAAATATGTGTGGGTGCATCTGTACCCATAAATATGCACTTGTCTGCATCTGTTAAAGCTACCTTAGCTTTGCCGTGTCACCTTTCAGCAGACTGCTGCACTCTTTAAAATCCCTCCTTTATTTTATAAAGGGTGCTAAACCATTCTTTTGCTGTCTTTACCAGAAAAGGACCAAGTGTCCCCCAAAATAGGCATTATGTTATGGCCTAGGGTCACCTAAATTCATTTTGAAGTAGTGTTTTGGCGTGGGCTCTGTGTTAATGTTTTTGGTGGTATGTCCTGTGGTCAGGAGCTGATAATGCTGGTTTCAGTGGTCCCTGTACGATGCAACAGGTGTAGTTTCTTGGTCAGCCAAAGATGGAAAAAGGCGTATGTTGATGCTGGTGTGTTCCTTGGGCTTAAGGATTGTAACTGGACTTGAAGAATGACAGTCATCATGAGGAGATAAGCACTCCAATAACTGAACTTTTTGCCATCAGGAATTTTCTACACTAGCACTTCTGTTTTGCTCAGACTAAGATGTAGAAATCTACCTTTCCGCTTTTCTCGTGCTTTTCAGATAGAACCTGCAATGCATGCATCACTGACTTCATCTGCTGCAAAAAATAGGTGACAGGATATTATTATAGCTCTTTGTGTGAACCCCTGGTCATATGATGAGTTTTAGCCCTTTGTCCAATTGGTAGAATGAGGAAGAAACAAAATGGATCCATGGAGACAATTTTGTGGCAGTAGAACAGGTGCTCACCAAGCACAGCATCCAGCACCGTCATGGTAAATCACCTTATAATGCCTTTTGAGAGAGATAATTGAATCATCTTTTGTATAGCTCGGGATGTATGCTCTTCCCTGGTGTTGAAAGTTGCACTTATTACAGAATGTGTTGAAGGTTTCTGAGAGAGTCCATGCTGGAACGTGAATGCACATCTTCCACCCAAAGCCATGACAGCTCTTCTGAGTCATATTCTTGTTAAAAAGATTCTTGGCCCGAGCTATTGCAGGATCAGCATCAAGTCCAAGAAGCATAGCCTCCCCTTTCATTGACCTCATCTCCAAGTTACAGTGCTACAGAAGTATTTTTTTAAAAATACAGCTCCATGTTTAATTGTGTCTGTGAGATTGCTACCAATAGAAAACATCATTCCTGATTTGAGCGTGAGGTAGGCGTTTGGAGGAAGCTTGCACTTCTTTTAAACCTGTTTTAAGATAGTCAGAATGGTTCAGTTTTGAGAAATCTCATCAGACAGCACTTACCACTTTGTTGTTGTCACACTTATATTTTAAAATACCTGCATCTTTTGGATTCTTCTCTGTTTATGAGTGGGCTTTATATAGGTGTCTTTTCTTAACTGTGCATGCTTGGATGGAAGGGAAGAGCAGAGGATATGAAAGATGTAGAGCAGTCACAGGTTCTCAGGGGTGGTGGAGTTGTCATGAGAGCACGAGAATGGTTGCACTAGGTCAGACTGAAAGTACAGTATTTTATCATTCTGTCTTTGACAGTGACTAAAAGCAGATGCTAAGAGAATAACTTAAAAATCAAGTGTATAGCAATACTTCCCTAAAATACAGGACCTGCCTTAGCTGCAACAAGTGTCTTTATTTTTAAAATATGTAGATTTTTCTTCCATGAGTTTATGGAGCTGTGTCTTGAATCCACAAAATTTTAGCCCTTGCAGTGGTCTCTAGTCGGGACTTTGGTAGCACAAGGCCACGTCAGGTGAAGAGCTGCCTCCCGCATGTTTTAAATCTGTGTCGTGCTAGTCTGATTTGATACCTGATATTTCTTGTATTGGAAAAGATACAGAACTGTCGGTTCCTATTCAGGTCTCTTTAAGATACACCACTACTTAAGTGTTGAGATACTTATCTTTAGTCTTTTGTTCTTTATCTTGGTGGCAGCTTACAGTGCTTTGAAGCTACAGTCATCTGCCCCGAGTACTCTAATTCTAGCCTGAAATATTTAAACCTGAAAGCTCGATCACTTCTTAAATGGATAATTTTTTAGGTACAACCGTATCTATTTACCTCTTCAGCTGCTGAGTCAATCAGAAGTTGTGAGAATTCAGATGATAAATAATCCTCACTATATGCTGGTTCTGATTGTTCTTTTTCCTTTCCACAGCCTTTATTCACATGTCTCCACCACAATTTCTCAGCTGTCATTTTCACTCTGCTTGATGTCTGTGTTCTCTGTTTGTCCTCTTCATCTTTTTTGTATGTTTCCTCCTTTTCTCTTTACTGCTCCTTTACTCATACTTGTCCTCCATTTTCCCTTCATTTTACCTAAGTTAGTTTCATAATAAGTACCTATAGTTGTTAGGAATAAAAAGCACTAAAATGATAAGTATGGTGCTTATTGCATGTCTGTAGAGATTTGGCGCTTTTTTTGGCCCTCTTTCTGCTTTTCATTATTGCTCTCTTTAGTTCTAAGCTCTTTGAGGTAGGAAAAAAATTCTGTTGTGGGTACTATGCCTCACATAGCGGTTTCTGAATTTTGATTAGATCTTCTGACATCCATTGCAATACTGTTGATGATGAAGTGAGTTTTCCCTCAAAACAGATTTAAAAATTTTTCTAGAGTGTGAGTCTAGTGGCTATCATGAATTAATTTTCATGTTTTTTCCTGTGAAAGCTGTCTTAGAAAATTTCTGTCTATTGTAGGAACAGCAGCAATACTGGTACCAGCAGCACCTGCTTAGCCTGCAGCAAAGGGCAAAAGCCCATGCTCAGGGACAGCAGCAAATGAAAGGTCCAGTAGGGAAGGATGCATCTGAGCAGAGAGCAAAGTCTGAAGAAGGGAAAATGAGTGCCTCAACTCAGCAGTCTGAACCTCCTCCACTTAATGAATCTCTGCCTTCAGCTTCCAAAGAAGACGAGTCTTCTCTGACATCCACTGAAACTCAGGTAGGCTTTGTAAAGTGATGCCACTCCATTTGTTGTGCTAGATGCGACAAAGAAACAGGAAAATAATGCCATCAAATTCTCATGTATATTGTGTAACAATAACTAAACATGGTAAAGCAATTTTAAAAGAACATTTGCTAAGGCTGCACCAATTAAAAAAAATAAAAATACACTCCTTGTATATAGACTTATATAGTCGCCCACACATGCACCAAGCGAGCCCAAGCTTGACTCACTTGTTCCTTCCACAACATTGTCATCTTTGTCTATGAGAATAACTTTGTGATACCCAAGTGCAAAATCAAGTACTTGGTAGATGAGGAATGCTATCTTTAAGACACTATTTCTTAATTCCTCTCTGGCAGCTTGCCAATTCTGGCTCCCCTCCTCTCTGTGTGTTATAGTTTGTCTGAAAGCCAAGAATTTAGCACAGAATATTTTTGTCAGCATGCTTAAGAACAGTTAATAATGGATGGAGGTCATGACTGATGTTTGCACAGATTACTGTAGGGCAGTAGATTACCCTGCAGCATGTGCTCCACTTTAACTTACAGTTGTGTTGGTTCCTACGGAGTAGCAAAAATAATGTACTCAGAGTTACTTTGCTTCATCATGAAAAAGCACTGTTGTCTCATTATATTTGCTGTGAGCAACAGATAACAGATCTGCATTAATCTCTTTCCTGTAGGTAGTTTCTGTATGTATGAATGCCCTAATTGCCATCAGCCTAACCTTTAGATCAGATTATTCACATTAAGAATAAATGAAATAAAAATCAGCCTTCCACAAGCTGTGGGCGGCCAGAACACTGAAACACAGAGTGATAAAATAACAAACACTGAGAAAGTTCCTGTACACTGGCTAGTGATCAAATGTGTTTTTCTTCTGACAGAAGGAGCTTTCCTTTATTTATAGTATTTGCCTTCTTCTCTAGCTCAATATTGAACCTCCCGATGACCCTGAGGAAGATTTGAGATTGCAGCAATTACAAGCGGCAGCAGCTCAATGGCAGCAGCATCCCCATCACCGGGTTGGGTTTCAATATCAGAGAATAATGCAGAAGCATGCCCAGCTGCAGCAGATAGTACAGCAGTATCAACAGATCATGCAACAGCCTCCACACTTGCAGGTGAAACGCTAAGGAGATGGTGTTTGATATACTTCCTGGATGACATAGCTCTCATGGTCTGCTGAAAAACAAGTAGTTGAATAATTTTTCGTGGTTGGCTCATTTGTCTAGCTACTTTTTCTGCTTGGGTAGAGATCTCTATCCCCTTTTCCTACTGTCATGCAACTTCAGAATGAAAAAAAAGAATTGACAGATAGTGATAAAGCTTCAGGATGAGAAATACAAGACTTGTCATAAGATTTTTCAGACATACCTGGGTGATACAGGAGCAAAGCTGAACACAGTATTGAATTTATTCAGCTTTAAATGTTTTATTGCTGGAGAAACAGTTTGGAAGAATGCTCAGCTAAACAGATGATTGTGTGGAGTACTTTGGTAGCTGCTTTTTTTTACAACATTGTGTAGTACAAAAATAAATATGTACAGTGATGAAGTAAACATAGATGCCAAAAATAAGCAGTTAAAGTAATTAAGAAAATCAGTCTCACGTTATTTTTGACTGAAATAATCAGTGAAATAAAATAAAAACTCTTAATAACGAGTTTGGATAATTATATCAGTGTTGCAACCTTTAAGCTTTTAAATGGAAGTTGATTACTGTATTAGAGAGTTGAGTCAGCTTTTTCTGGGTTGGTGGAGTTTGTACATTAAGCATTTCTTTGTAGCTTGGGCTGTCTGCTTGTTTAAAAAAAAAAGTATCTCTTAAGTGTGAACCTAAAAATCTCGGACAAGATCAAGCCGTGGATATTAGGACCTGTATCTACACATAATGAAAGACAGTACCTCCTTGAAAGAAGCTTCATTGTGCACATAAGATCTGGCAAAAGCTTAGAGAAAAATAATTGCTGACAGCTGAAGCAACTCTGAGTGGGTTAATAGCAGAAACTGAAACCTTGAGAAATAGCCACGTACTGTATATAGTGAAAGCACGAAGATTGATTTGGGCTTTAGCAATTGTTAACATCCAGTAATAATAATACAGCTTGGAGCCCTTTGATTATAGCTTTATTCAGCTGTCCCGTTTAAAAAAAAAAAAAAGCACCAAAAAAAAAGCCTTTTGTACATAAATGTCCTCTAGTCATAAAATGTGTAAATTGTCACAATTTATTTTAGACATCACAGTTGGTGTTTGCTTTTGTTTCAGTGTAGTTATTCCTCAAGCTTCTGCCCAAGTCAGAAATTGTGATATTACAAGTGATACTGAAATATGTGGCTCTGAAAATAACTAAGATGGTATTTTGAAGCTATTCTTGTCTTCTCGTTGCAGTCAATGTCAGTAGACATGCAGCTGCGACATTATGAGGCACAGCAAAAACAGTTCCAGCAGCTTCATAAAGATTGGGAGCGATCAATGAACCAACAGTGGCAGCATCAGCTTCAAACCTATCCTCACAAAGACCAGCTTCAAGAGTATGAGAAACAGTGGAAAGCATGGGATGAACAGATGAAGGTCACTCAGTCCCATCTGCAGGAGAAAGTGAGCTCACTCCAAAATCTGAAGAATCAGTATCCTGCAAATGTTTCACTGCCACCTCCATTTGTTCCATATTCTCAAACCACTCAAGGTGGCATTCCTATTATGCCTCCAACTTTACCTTCAACTACACCTCCGCTGGTCCCCCCGCCTCTCTCTTCTGTTTCTCAGTTATCTAATTCCTCTGTCCCTTCAGGATCCAGTTCTCAAAGCAGTCAATCTACTGAGACACCAAGGCCAGCTCTGCTTCCCACCCCTGGTACCTATGCATCAAAAATAGCTAGTTCAGCTGTCTATTCACCTTATCATTCTCAAGTAAGTTCATCCTTTGGCTCTTCAGACCACGGAAAGTCTCAAGTTCATCTTAGTAAACAAACTGTCTCTATTTCATCTGAGCAAGGATGTGGGGAACTGAAAGCCACTTCTGCAGTGTCTTCAACACATGCACATACCATGCAGGATAAACCAGTGAGGTCGGGTGGATTGCTTCCAGATCCTCCCAGATCAGCACGTTTTGAAGGCCCCAGAGGCCCTAGGTAAGGATGCTTTTGTTGATTTATACATGTTCCAGGCTACAAGACTTTCAGTGATATATTAAGAAATGAACCATATATCTTATTCTCGAATCTTCCTGAGGTCATGTGAAGTGTGCTTGTTTGGTGAAGGTTTTGTTTTTAAGGTATGTACACCGTGCTCTGTATTTATCTTACTAAAGCAAGGATAGATAGATGCCTTTCAGCTGAGCATTACCTAGAGTAGAATGCTTTTTTTTCCTAGTAAAATGTTTGGGCACACTGCACCTTTTTCATTCCCGGAGACATAATATCCCTTCTATGAAAACAGGAAAGCTGTTGTAAATATTTGATATGTCTTTGCTGTCCTTAGTTTGAAGATGATAACTCACACTTGAAAGAATGACCCTATATGAAAAGTGATCTAAATTCCCAGCATTTTGTCTGTGGTACTTGGAACACAAGTTTAAGAAAATCTAAAGCAAAAATGTTGAAGGATTGTTTTTAAGGTGTTGCTATATATGGTAGCACTTTAAGGTAGGCATTCTGAAAGGGATTCAGGAAAGTATCCAGATATATATTCAGTTGAATATACTAACTTAGCTAATAACTGGCAATTTAGATGCTATTTATTTTTTAGAAACAGTAAAAAGTACTCTTTGCTTGTAATCCAGGATTGCAGAAAGAAATGAAAATTCAAAGCTGTTCACCAGTACTTTAACTTCTAGCATGAGAGAGTTCTGCAGCTATATGATTGTCCTATTCAGTGCACTTTTCAAAATGGCTGTTTGATAAGAGAGGTAGTGCTTGTCTGAAGTACAAATCAGTGTTTTTCTACATATATAGCATTACTTAGCATTCAAACAATTATAAAGAAGAGAGAGAGAGAAACAAAGATTTGAGCCATAGGATCCTAGCATTAGGATTCTTTGCCAGTTTTTCTTTCACATTACATCATGATTCTATGGTCTTCATTTTGAAGGTTGCTGTCTTTATCTAAGATACAGTTTTGTTCAAATTTAAAACTTCATTTAAATCTTCATCAGGTGGATGACCCTTCTCTTTGCTTCCAAAGTGATTATTCATGAATAATAATTCATGAATTGCTAGCAATGTAAAGGATTTTTTTATAACTTTGAATAATCTAGCCATCTACCTCCTGATGGTTTTTAAAAAGTGTTGTTTCTGTCCTGGGGATTTGTTGGATGTACAGTTCTGAACGGAGTGTTTTCATGATTAGTTAGTGCATGTCTTTTATGTGAGTTGGTTTAAAGCTCAGTGATGTGTGATGATAGGCTATGGATAATCAAAAATATCTAGAATGCACATACAGGAGCTCCGGTTTTGAGAATGCTTAACGGTATTTAATTAACACTGTAACCTTTGGGCATTCCTATATTGTGAATGCATGACCATTCTAGGGTTTTATCAAAGCTTTCCCAAAAATCTGTTTACTGTTCTCAATATAGTTAGTAGAAAAGAGAGTCCTAAAAAATTTTTAACTGAACTTGGGATAAATTAAAAATGTTGTGTGTTACCTGCTGCCATCCCAGCTAAAAAGTCCCAGGTGATGACTAGACATATAAAATGACACACCCTCCCTTCACCTCTTTTCAGCAATTAACTTTTCTCAAGAAACTCTAAAGAATGGGCTTAAACTAATTTTCAGAATTTTGGGCATGAAGTGTGTCTTACAGTATCCAACCTTCTAGCTATACCTTCCATGTAAAAAGTTGATTCTGCAAATCTAAGTTATCTTGCCACTGCGCTTTGTAATTCCTTATTTTTTCTCTTCCTGTTCATCTTGACCTGCCCCTACCCCCAAAAAAGGCAGTTTATTGTGTTAACTTATCAGGATTATTAAAATTCTTTGAGGCTGTATAAATGATCTTGTTTGGTAAATTGCTCAATGAAACAGTAAATTCTGCAACAAGTCAACTACTGTTGGTAACTAGGCGGTAATGAGTTAATATCCATAGAATCATAGAATAGTTTGGGTTGGAAGGGATCTTTAAAGGTTATCTAGTCCAATCCCCCTGCAGTGAGCAGAGACATCTTCAACTAGATTAACTGGCTCAGAGCCCCATCCAGCCTGACCTTGAACGTTTCCAGGGATGGGGCATCTGCCACCTCTCTGGGCAACCTGTTCACCACCCTCATCGTAAAAAACTTCTTCCTTACATCTCATCTAAATCTACCCTCTTTTAGTTCAAAACCATTGCCCCTTGTTGTATCACAACAGGGCCTGCTAAAAAGTCTGTCCCCATCTTTCTTGTAAGACCCTTTTAAGTATTGAAAGACCTCAGTAAGGTCTTCCCACAGCCTTCTCTTCTCCAGGCTGAACAACCCCAACTCCCTCAGCCTGTCCTCATAGGAGAGGTGTTGCATCCCTCTGATCACTTTTGTGGCCCTCCTCTGGTCGTGCTCCAACAGGTCCATGTCTTTCCTGTGCTGAGGACTCCAGAGCTGGACGCAGTCCTCCAGGTGGGGTCTCACCAGAGCAGAGCAGAGGGGCAAAATCACCTCCCTCGACCTGCTGGCCACGCTTCTTTTGATGCAGCCCAGGATATGGTTGGTTTTCTGGGCTGCAAGCGTACATTGTTGGCTCATGTCCAGCTTTTCATCCACCAGTACCCTCAAGTTCTGCTCTGCAGAGCTGCTCTCAATCCCTGCATGCCTCAGTCTGTTTTGATGCTGGGGGTTGCTCCGACCTAGGTGCAGGACCTTGCACTTGGCCTTGTTGAACCTCATGAGGTTCACATGGGCTCACTTCTCAAGCTTGTCCAGGTCCCTCTGGATGGCATCCTATCCCTCAGGCATGTCAGCTGCACCATTCAGCTTGGTGTCATCTACAAACTTGCTGAGGGTGCACTTGATCCCACTGTCTATGTCCTTGATGAAGATATTAAACAGCACTTGTCCCAATACAGACTCCTGAGGGACAGCAGTTGTCACCGATCCTCCATCTGGACATTGAGGTGTTGACCACTACCCTCTAGATGTGACCATCCAACCAATTCCTTATCCACTGAACAGTCCACCCATCACATCCATATCTCTCCAATTTAGAGAGAAAGATGTTGTGGGGGACTGTGTCAAAGGCCTTACAGAAGTCCAGATAGATGACATCCATAGCTCTTCCCTTGTCCACTGATGTAGTCACTCCATCATAGAAGGCCACTAGGCTGGTCAGGCAAGACTTGTCCTTGGTGAAGCCATGCTGGCTGTCTCGAATAACTTCCCTGTCCTCCATGTGCTTGAGCATAGCTTCTAGGAGGATCTGTTCCATGATCTTCCCAGGCACAGAGGTGAGGCTGACAGGTTGGTAGTTCCCAGGGTCCTCCTTTCTTCCCTTTTTAAAAATGGGCACAACATTCCCCTTCTTCCAGTCACCAGGGATTTCACCTGACTGCCATGACTTCTCAGATGTCATGGAGAGTGGCTTGGCGACTACGTCAGCCAATTCCCTCAGGACTCTGTGGTGCATTTCGTCAGGTCCCATAGACTTACATATGTTCAGGTTCCTCAGGTGGTCACAAACCTGATCTTCTCTTACAGTGGGAGGGGCTTTGCTCCCCCGGTCCATGTCTTGTGGTCCATCCACTCAAGAGGTGTGGGAAGAGAGGTTGTCAGTGAAGACTGAGCCAGAAAAGTTGTTGAGTACCTTTGCCTTCTCATCCGTTGTTACCAGTTTGCTAGTTGTGTTCACCAGGGGGGTACACTTTCTTTGACCTTCCCTTTCTGGCTGACATACCTATAGAAGCCCTTCTTATTACTTTTTGTGTCCCTTGCCAAGTTCACCTCCAGCCATGCTTTGGCCTTCCTGACCCCCTCCAGTGAGACACAACTGTGAGTCCCAAACATCCAAATAGCTTGTCTTCAGACATGAGTTCTCTATTTTGCATAAAATGAATTTCATTTGTTCTAGTCTGTTACATAAATCAGTATTTGAGCATACACTTAAAGATTGGATTTTTTACTAGATCAGCCTTGGTAAATATGATTGCATGAATTATTCTTCATTCATTTGCCTGACCTATTTCCTCATATTCGAGCAATAGCAGTTGTAGGTGCTCTCAAAGGGAATTAAAAAAGTGATGCAATAAAAATGTATTTGTTTTAGGCATATTATCTTGCATGGAACTGGGTGATATCACAGTTTGTTGCACTTTCTGAAAGGATTGGTATTTAAAGATTTTTCTAGATGGCATTCATGACCATAGTTAAGTAGGCTTGTTGCATACTATCAAAACAAAAGTTCAAGAAGAGTTGTTGATTGCAACAAAGCTTCTGCTAAACAAAAGCTGAAAGCTTTTTTTCATATGAGTTTGCCAGCTTTCTTTGTCAGTCAGGTTTCAGTCCTGAGATATTTAAGCCAAATTTCCTTTTAGGGTTACAGAATCTGCAAGTGGCTTAAACTAGTCTTCAGTGGCTAATATTGAATTGAAGAACATGTCTCTGTGCTTCTGCACTGGTTCAGTAAGGACTGATCCTAAGACATACTAGGATTCATCAGTTAGAAGTGACTTTTGGGGACAGTGAAACACACTTTTAGAGGATTTTAATTTGCCATGTTCATTTGAATAAAATTACCATTATGTCATCTATAGATTTGATGGACCTCGGGGAAGAGGATATGACAAATTTGAAGGCTCAAGACAGAGAGGTCCTCGATTTGACTCCCAGCGCTCAGAAGGATACAGGTCACGTTTTGACCGACAGAATACAGATGGACAGTCTTCGAGTAGATGGGGGACTATCCCACGAGGACCAGCAGCACAATTTTATACTTCGACAAATGCATCACATGGACATGGTTCCCGACCTACTGGTCCACGGTGGAGGGGACCCAGGCCTCATTTGGGACAGCAGCAGCAGCAGTCACAGACAGACACACAGTCAGAAAACAAAGAACCTTTTACAGACGTAGCTGGCAATCAGCAGACTGTAAGCAGAACACAGACTACTCCTGATGCACAGAGTGCAGGTCCCATTGAGCCAGATGAGGACCTGACAAACACTCAACAGGAACAATCCAAACCTGAAGTCAAAGAAACTATTTCAGACCCTCCTAAAAAGTGGACATGGAGTTCACATGATCCTAACCAACAAGTAGAAGAGTCCAAAGCACCTACTCCACCTATCCAGAACCAGAAATCAACATCCCTTTCTAGTAACCCTGTGGCTTTGCAGTCAGGTATTGCAAGAACAGGCGGAGCGGTAACCCCTGTAACAGGAAATCAGGATTTGGATTCACCAGACAGCCAGTTGATTGATTCAGATAGCACCCAGGGCCTACCTGGACCAGAAAACAGAGGGAAAGGGCCGTTTATGCATGAAGATAGAGGCAAGGGACCAGTAAGCAGAGGAAGGGGCCAGGGCAGACTGGATGATGGCCGTGGCAGAGGGCAGGGGGATGGCCGTGGCTGGGGAATGGGCCGTGGCCGGGGGATGGGAAGGATGGACGGTGGCCGAGGGATGGGAAGGATGGACGGTGGCCGGGGAATGGGAAGGATGGACAGTGGTTGGGGAATGGGCAGGATGGACGATGGCCATGGCCGGGGAATGGGCAGGATGGATGATGGCCGTGGCAGAGGATATGTATACAGGGGCAGAGGGCAGGCTAGGCAGGCATCCATCCGTGGCAGGGGGATGTTCAGGAGAGCAGGCAGTAGGGAGAGGATGCCAGATAGGCGGTCAGGCAGCAGTGAGAGGATGACAGATGGACGGTCTGGCAGCCGAGAGAGGGGACTGGGTGGACGG